GTAACGACTCATCCCAGTAGAGTGCTCAAACTGGACATGAAAGCAGAGCTTTGTATGCCAGCGAGCTATATCTATATATATATATGTATTGATCTTTTGACGAATTTTACAAGTGAAACTTAAGGATGAGAACTGAGTTAGAAATTTAAAAAAAAACGAACGAATTACAGAAGCTAACAACAGGATGAGTCATATATATTTACGTAACACTTTTGTAACATTTATTTACCAGTTCGACTCGGTATTGTTGTTGGCACTGTCGTTGGAAGTGTCGTTGGAGGTGCAGTAGTTGTCGGGGGCTGGGTGGTTGTTGGAGCTGGAGTGGTTGTCGGCGGAGCTGTTGTCGTCGTAGGGGGACTGGTGGTAATCATAGATGGAGCTGTAGCTGTCCGAGTACCAGCGTTGCATAACGAAACGTCGCAGCAACTGATTGAGCAAGACCCAAGAGCACCACCAAGAGATTGGTTCATGTAATTACACCCATGGTTTTCAGTGCAGAAGAACGCTGGAATACACCCTTTGATGAAAACAGACTCGTTCAGCATGGTGTCAAACGCCTGCAGCGTGTAACAGCTGAAGTCTGCTTTACAAGTTGCTGATGTGTGAACTGTGGGACAATTCGTTGTGCACTCGTAGCAACTCAGGATGGTTGGAGCTGCCGACAAAAATTAATATCTTAGTCAAAATAATGTTCAGTCGGTGAATAAAACTGCAAAGGACTAACATTACCTACAACTGATTTTCTAGATTTGCTTGGCTCAAGGCGTCAAAATTAATGATTGTTAGTAATTATATTTATGCTCAAATTTGCTAACAGCTATTTATTTCCTTGTTCAGAACATTACGATCCATGCTGCGAAATAGACAGACAATATCAGATGCCCAAAATAGTAACAAGCTTCGAAAAACAACGGAAAAAGAAAGAGGTGATTAACGAGCTCTTGAACATTTGTTTTGAAGAATTCACTGATTGTCACCAAATAAAGAAAATGCCTAGTTAGTCAGAACTTTAAATTAAAAAAATGTATTGTCGACAGAATGTGAACGTTGCCATTAATTATATAAAGACTGCTATTTGAGAGTAAATTGCTATATACGCACATTACAAAAGGAAACCGAGAAAAAAAGAGGAGACTCCATCAGCCATTCTGTTAATTAATTACACAATACTTGGGGGCCTAGCTCCATTCATCCCTAGTAGTATTTTATATGTAAATAGTTGGCAAGAGTAACTCCCTTACCTAATTCCTGAGGTTGCAAGAAATAGTCTGGCTTTGTGTCCTCCCAATTAGGAAAGGGCGCCGATTGAGCTACTGCTAAGAGTGATATCACCACCTGACAAAAAATATCACAATTTGTCAGTTACCATGAAATTGAAAAGCCTCACCTGGATTGGGTCTGATATCGAGTACAGCTTCTCTCTAGTAATCTAGTTGTGGAGTATTATTGAAAGACCGTTACACCCTGCTATTCGTGATTTAACTGAATCTTTTTTGGACGTTTAAGAGGAAAAATATATCGATTATTCCGTGATAATTTCGTATGATCGTTGGTTTCGCATTCTTTTGGTTGGAAGTGATTGTAATGTTAAGGTCGATTCTTAACGCTGCTGTGATATGTCATCGTCACCACTGCTCTAAGATTAATATAGAAATATGAGCCAGAATCTTTAAAGGAAAAAGACGAATTTCCAGTGACCAAATATCCGAAAACAATATCCCGCCATGAGGTTAAATACAAACTTTAACACCATGTTTTAAAATGAAATTGGATCTCCGTGATGTTTCGGAAATTCAATTTAATTATCGATGATACCCGCAACGTTCGCGAATCCTCGTAATTTTTCTCCCTTGCTAAAAGGAATCAGTCTGAATTGTTAAAAGGACATGATAATCATCATCTTTCTCGTGCCTATATAGTTGCTGGGAAGGGGGAAAGTAAGGGAAGTTTACGAAGGTAATTTCAGTCCAATCCGGAGGGTTTTATTCTTTCGCTTCCTACTTTCTGATAAGCATTAACGTTATATCGACCAAGCACAACTCTTGGCAATGTATTTCTATCTCTTCATCTATCTAGCGTAGAACAAACCTGCAAAGTTCGCAGGAATTTGTCTTATTGCTGCACTAAATTAAACGTACCTAAAGGACTTTGAAAAAAAGAGCTAGAGATTAATTTGACCTTGAACTAAAGAAGACGCAAAGGGTATTTAGATGGCGTTTAAAATAAACAAATAGTTGACTTGAAAATTTTATAAAAATGGCAAACAGTTGCAATTGATGCTTACCGTCAAAACGGGCAAACGCATCTTCGAATTCATCTTCACCTCTTTCACTGGCATCAAGGCCGATGTAGCAAGATACCTTTATATCACTTTCGCAGAAGTTCGTATGATACTTTGTTTCTTAATTTCACTTTTTATAAGCCGCCTGATCCAATCAGATGACGCCTTCAGTATTAATATTTCGAAATATTGTTTTGATTATCACAGATATAGCGCGCCTGCGTCGCTGACGGAAATTTCCCCGCTGTTGTTAGCGTCTGCGACGCATGCTACACAGATACAGTCCAACAATATGTATTCAAGGAGTCACGTATTTACTTTCGCTAAATGGCCATTGGTAATATCAAGATTTAATGCATTTAGAGGACCTAGCAAACTATTTTATTGAAGAAAGCTACAGAATTTTGCTTTAATTTTGTTAAAATCCGACATAGTTAGGATTACAATTCACCTTTGGAATCGGCTAATAGCATTCTTTTAGAAACAAAACTATTTGATAATTACTGATATTTGAAAGGAGATTTTTCATTTATTTTTGCCCCACGAAATATCTAAGGGACCTAAAAGCTACAATTTCCAAATGACTTATGGAAAAAAAAAGTCGAAAATGCAACCATCACCTAAAAGGAACAAAAATAATTAGCGTTCCTTTAAATCTTTGCAATATGGAATTTTTGACATGCTTTGGATACACAACTAACTCAAAACCAAAGTTTATTTTACTAATAACCGTAGCTTTCCTGTTTACCTGTAGACAGCGTGTTTACAGCAACTGTCTTATATAATTACACAATGGACATCATATTGCAATCCAATATCGTTTTTTGCAATTAGATCATCATTTATAGTCATCAGACAGTGAAATTGTAATAACTTTCGATGGTTCCTCGTATTTATAGTGTACTAGCGTTTTCTTTTTTTTTACCCCATGCAATTATATTACCATTTTAAAATTACTTATTGCTTTAAGTTCTACTTTAATTTGCAGGGAGATCAACAACTGATGTATGTTGAACAAATTTTAAGGGCAGATATTATGACCTCTAATTTAAGTAACCAGTCATCTCTAAAAACATCTTAAGTTGTTTAATGAATCAAACTTTTTCAGGTCCTCTATCAAATACGCGCCGAAACTTGTCACAACAAATGTATGTGTATCCCCTCATTGAGTAATGAGTGTCATTAAATTCTTCGAGAATCCCCCACTTCACGATTCGCGTAAATTCTTCTCCTCTTTATTCCACGTTACTTTCCTGAAAAATGTAGTCAGCCCGGCTCGGCGGTTACCGTTACAAAGTGGATAAATATTGTTTCGAGATCACACAGTGAACCTGGCGATAGTTTTATTACGAATTTCATCTTCTAAATCTTAGAAGTTTTTTTTTTTTCAAGAAATCAAGAAATAGGGCCATAACCACATAGAAGTTAATCTCTGTCAGTTGCGACGCGTGGTCCTAGAAATATACACACTCTCTATTTATCCATTTTAACGATACGGTAATTAAAAATATCAGTTCCACCTGGTGATATTGATTTCAACCAAAAGCAAATACTAGTAAGATAGATTTCGTTCTGAATTAGGCGCAAAGGTATCAAATGAAAACTATTTCGTAATTTGTCATTTGTAAGGGCTTTAGAAGACACTCTATTACCGGACCGTTATAGAGTTTTATAAGTTACGGTTCTTGACGAAACCATTTCCATATTCACTATCTTCAAACGAAGATCATTATTATTGCCACTATATATGGAAATGTTTCAATAACTAACTTGCTAAACTTCCAAAAATTCCTTAACTGTTTTATTGCTTGTATCACGAAAGTTATCGTTTTTAATATACTGTACCAAAAGAAACAAAAATGCTTAGGATAAATAACGCTCATTTTCACCTCAAATTTGTATTATGGAATTATTGGCATTCTTTGGTTACGTAACTAAATCAAAACCAACGTTTATTTTACTACAACCGTAGTTTTCTTGCATACCTGTATACAGGGTGTTTACAGGTATACAAGAAGTAGCAGCATTCAGTAGACACTGGCTTTAATTTCACAACTGCTTAAGTTGTGTGTATAACTGTGATGATCAATCACGTCTTCATGTCTTTCTCCGCAGTTCAAAATATATGATTTTTCATATGTTCACTTCCAATGTCTTCTATAGTTGCAAAATGGATATCATATTGCAATCTGATCTCGTTTTTGTACTTAGATCATCATATACATGTATAGCCATCAGACAGTTCAGTCTTGACGTCTTCCGATGGTTCCTCCAGTTTATAGTGTACTAGCTTTTTTACCCCATGCAATTATATTTCCATTTTAAAATTACATATTAAGTTCTACTTTAATTTACAGGAAGATCAATAACTCAAGCATGTTGAACAAACTTAAAGGGCCGGATACTAAGACCTACAAAATTGAGAAACCAGTCCCCTCTACACATCTTAAGTTGTTTAATTAATCATCCTTTCTCAGGACCTCTATCAAATACACACCGAAACTTGTCACAACATTAAATTCTTCGAGAATCCCCTGCCCACTTCACGATTCGCGAAAATTCCTCTCCACGTCAGTCCACTTTGCTTTCGCGAAAAATGTAGTCAGCCCGGCTCGGCGGTAACCATGAAAAGGCGAAAAATATTTATTTCGAGATCACTTAGTAAACCTTGCGATAATTCTATTACGAATGTCACCTTCTCAATCTTACAGGTTTTGTTGTTGTTGTTGTTATCGCTGTTTTTTTCGAGAAATAAGGCTATAGCTACATCTCTGGTAATCTCGGTCAATCGATGCCGTGGTCCTATCAATATCCGTTTTAACGGTGTGGTAATTAGAAATATCATTTTCACCGGGTGATATTGATTTCAACCAAAAGCAAGCACTTGCAAGAATGGCAGTCGTTCTGAATTTAGCACAAAGGTAAACAATAAAAACACTACGACAAGAAAACTAGTTATCGATTTAATTCGTAACATTTGTAATTTGCAAGGGTTGAGAAGATACTCCAGATCTGTAACTGCAGCGTTTTAAATGAGGGTTTTATTGATATGAAACCATTTCCGTATTCGCTATCTTCAAACGAAGATCATTATAGTCACTGTATATGGAACTGTTTTAATAACTGACTCGCTAAACGCCCAAAAATTCCTTCGCCGTTTTATTGTTTGTATCCACGAGAGTTGCTGTTTTTAATATACTAGCTGTGCCGCTGTTCAATCGAACGAACGTCGTTGTCTCTTTCTCTGCGATGTTCCAGGGAGAAAATATGACATTAATTTACACTTTTCAAATGATACAGTGTTTACACTTAATTTACTGAAAATTTTATTATGCAATGGTTGTTAGCGAACTGAGCGAGTTTAATTGTATTTCCAAAGCAGTCGAGAAGCTGTGTACAGAGGTTCAGCTGAGCAATTTAAAAAAATATCTAAAAAACTGAATTGGCATCGTTCTAGGGGTAGGTAAAGAGTTATTCGTTCGTGAAACATTTTAGCATAGATATTTGCATTCAGAGTTTAAGAAGTATTCCTAGTGATTTGCTTCCTTCTATTCAATTTTCATATTAATTTGGAAAGAATAATTTGGGAAATTCATATTCCTAGAATCGGAGATGTCAGCCTCATTTATTTGTGACCCTTTTTGTCTTTTTTTTTGTGTGTGTTTTTTCTTTTTGTTTTTTTGTTTTTAATTTTTTTCTGTGATCTGCTATCGCGCGATCTGAAAATCACTCAGCCTTTCGGGCATTGAACTGATGACCGGCCCATATTGTTCAAGCTCCAAGCTGTGGAAAGTCCTTGCTAGCATCTATAGCTACATTTAATTTGCAAGTTTTAAAATAATTTGGCCTTTCATTACATTCCTGCTGGTAGCATCTCCTGTTAATTTGTATTTTGCGACTAATCTGATTAGATTTTTCAAGCGATCAATTCGTCGAAACAATACAATGAATTTGAGTGATCCTATTTTTATCGACTGCATGGGTCGTTTACATCTCCTTTCATTCCTCAACGCAGACCTGAAGTTCATCGCGCTTTGCAGCTAATAATTTAAACGATGCTAGATTAATGGCTTTTTGTCTCCACGAGCAGTACTTTCCATTAACAGTTTTCGAATAATCGGCCCGCGCACACAATAACACTGCTGGGTGTGTGATAAGGGAGATATTAAAGGAGCTATGTTTTTTTTTCATATTAATTTGGGAAGAATAATTTGGGAAATTCATATTCCTAGAATCGGAGATGTCGGCCTCATTTCTCTGTGACCCTTTTGATGTTTTTTGTTTGTGTTTTGTTTTTTGTGTTTTTGTTGCTGTTCTTTCTTTCTTTTTTTTTTTTTTTGCACCTTGAAAAATTTAGGCTACATTTTTCAAGTTCGTCATTTGTCCCTGTGAATTTTCTCCATCCTTGTTCCTTTATGGCTTATCATCATCTCTGTGTTTTTCAAGCTTGGTTTATTGGTTTATTTTCAGATTTCCTTCAATATCTAAAGACAATTTTGTACATGGCCGAAATACCGCGACTTAGCTAAATTTTTCTGTCATCTCTCACAGATCTGAAGTAGACTGCAGATTAGTTATCGTGCAAAGTCAGTTCTGTATTGTTTCTATTATTAATTCAAATTGCAACTTAAAAAGGCATTTGAAAATCAATACTTAAACTTTGTAAAATGAGACAGTTCCGTTATAGCCACTCGAGCGTTCTGAAATATACGAGATAATGTTTTGTTAAGACGTTTTAATAGCTTTACGTAATCGCTTCGAACTGTGTTTTCAGCTGAAAAAAAGTAAAATATTTTTTGGTTACGTCCTTGCTATATGCTGGCCAAGTAACTGGGCATTCGCTGACGTTCCATTGGTTTGTCAATTGCTGTTATAGATTCAGAAACCTCTAGGAGTCTGACAATCTCTGGTGCCGCACGCTGGATTGCTAAGACAAGGAGAACAGCTAAACAGTCCGAAAACCTATAGTCACACAGTATCTGTATGAAACCCAATAATATTTGAAGAAAATAGAAACCCAAGACTTCAAAGGACTTCTAGAGACGAAAAACATTCCTTTCAACAGCTATGTTTAAGGTTCCACAAGAAA